TTGTTCTTTTAAATTGCTGATATTAATTGAGTAAAAAAACCTTTATGTCTGAAGATGTGAATCTAATTTGCATCATTACTTGTCATCAGCTTGTTTTCACACCTTGTAAGTCCTGCTCCCATCAGTTTATCCAACAATGTAAATCAGTTCACTTTTGACATTATTTGTTGCTTAGAACCTCCCAGCAGCAAACAAAGACACTTGCTTATGTTGCTATTATTGTCTGGAAAAACCTGCGACTTCAAAGCAAATCAAAGATCACACAAGAAAATAATCCAAACCTGATGTGGTCAAGATGATCACTATAGTCTGTTCATTCCTAAAAAGTCAATAGTGTGGATATTTACTTTTTCATCTAGCTTTATCCTCTTAACCTTTATGAATTATTGCTGCTTTTCGGCAGAATCTCTTACTTTGCCTTGATCTTATGATGTTTGAGTTGATTCCACATTAGACATCAATAAATCCTTATCTAATTTAATTTCTCTCTGTGTCATCTCTACAAAATTGAGTGCTCTCAATAAAGATATCAGTTGAATCAAGCGTGTCTGGAAAAGAAATTGAATCTGAGGTGCTGTACCCTTATGTAGGTGGTGCATTAAGTTGGAGATATGAGGCGTGTTTTTGTTTGATCCAATTCAAGATTAGGTGGAAAAATCCAGAGGGCACATAATAGATGCAGTGTTTTGCTGTTTCCCTGAACCACATTTCCATGGAAACAAGTAAAGAAGTACCTTCTTCTTAATTACCAAGGGATGACATTTTGTTACAAGTTTCCAAAGGGGTGTCACTGGAGAGGTATAAATACTGTGTTTACACAGCCTTCTTATCTTTCTGTGGTGTTTCTTTTATGATATTTATCCAAGCTATTATAATACATTATTTAATAGAATAATATAATATCACACATTATCTAATTTAAAACCCAAATACTACAACAAAATAGACTCCATAGACCAAGGACATGAATCATTAAATGATCACAAGAGTCATACTGGAGGGAGAGCACCTGCTTAAATATATGCCAGGAGCATAGCACCAAATTCTGGGCCCCCTAAATCAGTCAGTGACTGTTTTCCCTTAGTTTGCTTTCTTCACCTGTCATTTCTTTCATTGCTTTATTGGAACCCATACAGCTCTCTCTTGGACATGACAGTGTACATTGGTGCTCCAGCAGTATGAGCAGTCTGATGCTGCTTTAGCAGCATTTAAAGACAAATCCTAGTGCAGGAGCGACTAAACCATTTAGTGCCTTTTGTAAAGGGTGAGAGATGCCTCAGAGAACCTCTGCTGTTTTTTAAATACAAAGTTCAGTCTCTCAAGACTGTATATAAAGACGGACAGCTCATCTCTGCTTAACGCCACTATACAAAAATGAAGCCAAAATATCCTGGATACGGCCGCTGCCATCTTGTGCTGGTAGGAAGTAACAATTTCTGAGGCATCAAATTCCTGTCCACACACTTGTCAGACCAACTGCAAGCAACGCCATTGAGTGTGACCCCATCAATTGGCACCCACAGCTGTCAATCATGATATCAAATCCTGTTTTGATAGCACCAACCAATTAAAACCAATATTATCAGAAAAATTGCACATTTGAACATACATTGGAGCGATAAGCACTACCCAGCAAGCATTTTTTGGTTTAAAAAAAACGTCTAATAGCCGTCTACATGAAGACTTGACGTCTAGGCTAAATCACGGCTGAATTTGGGCTGTCAGAGAAAATTTGGAAGAAATCTAACCATAGCCAAAGTATAGACGTCATCAATTATAAGGCTATGTAGAGACCATGTCCAAAAAATGGAGATAAACATATTTTAATTACTGTTGACTCTCCATACGTGATTGAATATCATATCGCACACCATCTGCAATGGCGAAAATTACATTTAATCAATTTCAAAATTAAATCGGCTAGATTTGGGTTACATGTAGCTAGACTAAATCGGAGCTAAATATAGCCAATACGTTTAAATCACGACTATTGCTTGCTGGGTACTTAAAAGGACAGAAACCATCTTTGGGAAAAATTTATTTGAGTACACCTTGAATTTTTAGTTTGGCCCATGTCCCATCTGCTAACATGGTGGGGGCGTGGTTCAACTGCAACCAGCCACCAGGGGGCGATTGAGTTGTTTTGGCTCCACTTTTGGGGTGATTATTCAGCCAATATTACTTTCGTAATGGCATTAATTAGTTATAATTGAAATATTACAAACAAAACCAAAGTTATCATTCCATGTTTTTTGAGGGCTCCCTTCCCATAGGAGCCCTGGGTAATCATACCCATTTTTCCCCCTACTACGATGCTCATGGCTTTTGCTAATAGAGCTCCTCTTACCTTAATGTTTTGTCTCTTAAAGGGCAACATACTACCCAGCTGGCTAGATGTTGATATTTGATTGTATTTAGGTTGTGACGTCAGGTGACCAAACTTCAGTGTCAGGACAATGTCAACTTCCAACATCAATCTGACATAGAATACCGATGACAGATGATGTTGATATTTGTTGGTTTTAAGTTGCGTTGCCAATAACCAAAACCCAAAGTCTTCCAAACATCTCATGCCAACGTCATCTTCACGTAGAACAATGGCGTTGAGACATGAGATATGGAGAAAGAGAGTAACCCAAAGTCTCCAGAACATCATTATGGTGATGTCCACAAACATGATATGATCATGAACCCAATTTTCAATCCAACCAAAATTTAACGTCTGTCTGACGTTAGAGTCCAGTGTCTTTCTGACGTCATACTGATGTCCATTGCCAGCTTGGAATAATTACCAGTTTGAGTTGTTTTGTTTGACGTGGCTGCACTATTTTTCAAAGTGCTGTAAATGCCACCTCCTACAGTATTTATATTTTCTTTGCTGAACCATAGATGAAGGACACAGAGTAATTGAGATGCAGCATTTGCATTTAGATCTACATATTACCAGATCATAAAGGCATGTCCTACGATGACCTTATTGCCTTTGTATTTAATCCACACGTAGGTCAGTCAGTCAAAGCAATCACTTACTGTCCAAACACACATCAAGCTGAAAGGAATAACCTTGGTGCTGCGTTATTGGAGAAAAGAAGCCCTGTAGATTAGTTGGACTGATGGGGCATGGGCTGTAGGGTGAGGTGATAAGAACTTCAAAATTAAACTTGGACCTGGGAAACTAAGCGCCTTCAGAAGAAAAACAGCGGCTCCCGCATGACACAGCGATTGTTTTTTTTTTTTTTTTTCCACAAGAGACACAAAGATCACCCACAATGTTATCTCGTCAGTCCACCAGTGCATCAATCAGGGCCCAGGCTGCTGGGAATCGACCCCCTTTGGTCCAGAATCAATGCCCTCTCCCATTCTCATTGGTACAGCAGAGATTGTCAGAGATACAGCGCCAAATCCAGCGCTATATGTTCTAAATGGGGGAGGCTATTAACTCACTGACACACACTGCCTCTCTCTTTTCTTCTCTGCTGAGCCTTTGCTTTATCAGTCTCAAGAGGACTGGATTGAAAATGTTACAATAAAACAGTTTTTTCCTATTGTGATTTTTCGATTGTATACAAAAAATACTTAGCATAAAAATATCTAACCTAACTTCAAGCATCATCTTATTCCCTATCATCACACCAAACACAACAGAGTCAGTATCTGTACCACTGTGCACAACATGAAGCATCTTTATCATCCTGATTATGGAAATCCCAGATCAATTTAACATTATAAAAATATTTTGAATTAAAATGAGATAATTTGAATAGCTGTTTTGCCTTTTTATGATAAAAGATGGACCTATAGTTGCAGAACTGTCAGGGATTGTTGGTTGTTTATCAGAGGAGGGGGTGGCTGGGATGTGATTTTCTTTCTTTTCTTTCCTTTTTCCCCTCCCTGGAGCTACAAATATTTTTCCTTGAGCCTCCCATAGTACTGTTGGAAAATGCATGACCCTCCCTCCACCATTTATAACCTTTTTTTTCCAAATTTCACACCAAATGGAGGTATTGGAGGCAGTGGTGTAAGGTAGTTACAATGGACTGTAGTTTATGCTATCGTGCACATATCCTCTCTTCACATGATCAGAGACTTGACTTTGGATCATATACACATACATATGACCAGTAATCATCATTGCATATCTGTGTATGACAAAAAATACCAAAGAAAATAAGAATTTAACAAATGTTTGATTCAATTGAACAATTTTAACAGCTGATTTATAGTTATAGAATACACATATAATTATAATAATAAATAAATATAATTTTAGCATTTATAATTTTATAAGTTCCATTGACTATTTTATGAAAACGAAAAAAAAACACACCACATGACAGAGATTGTTTTTTTCTTTTTCAAGGGCATATGTAGCAAATTGCACTGTTTTTAGTTTTATGAGAGTTCTTCTTTGAACACAGGCATATTTTCAAGGTGGCCATCACTCATAAGGGCCAAATCTCCACCCAATGAATTGTTTGAGGGCCTGTTCTCTCTATGGGCACCCTCACCTCACAGGCCCCAGTGTAACCACACTGCCTGTGCTGTCTATATTTACACCTCTGGTTGTATGTCCCTCCCATAAGCCAAAAGAAAAAAGAAAAAAAAAAAAAACCTAAGTCCCTCCCCAAGTGCTTAAAAGATTTTTTTCAATGGCCTCCCCTGTTATATCCCCTTATTTATCGATAACGAACAGTCCCTTATTTTATCATACTTTTTAATTTTCAGTAAAATCACACAATGTGGTGTAAAATACCTGTTTCCATTCAACAGAGAATATTTAAAGAACTTTACTTCCAAACACGTACTTTTCTATCGCCCTATATAAATGTAATTACACCATATGTTTCAGATTTGTGACTGTGATAAAGTCAGAGGTCACAGAAACTCTGCACCACTGTTTCCAGCACCACTTTTCATCTTCAAACTACATCTCCCAGAATGCCTTCCTGCGTCACCTCGCGCTTGTGACTTCCTGTTTGGGTGCCGCAGCTGGAAGAAAAATGGCAGCTGAGACAGGGAGATACAGGAGTGCAGTTAGCAAAAACAAAGACCCCTCTGGTCTTCTCATCTCTGTCATAAGGTGAGGTTTGTCACATCCTTTTTATCAACCTAACGGCGCTGCTAAAATGTCGGACAGCTCTTTAACTGTGCTCTTATTCGCTCTCAGACAGGGGTTGACAGCTAGCTTACATGCTAAAGCGACATGCTAGCAACATCCTTCCTGTTAACAGATATTGTTGATTATCTAGCTAACGGTATGTGAAAGAAATTAAAGTTCACATGTTTGGTAATTTCATTTACGATATTATATGTCGGTTAATCTTTACAGCAGGTTCGTTTATTCCTGAAGCAGAAGAAAATGTTTAAATTTGGCTGCAGTGTCTGGCTTTCTTAACTTAAAGCTCATTCAGTATTCGTTTCACAAATAGCAAATATCCTAACAACTAACAAATCCTTTAGACGACTTATCTGGGTTTTAAAGCTTGACTTGAGTTTATTTTGTAGGAGCACAGAGGCTTATGAAAAACAATGAGATGAATTACATGAAAAGCACAAACGACACACAACTACTGTGACCTCACTGTGACCCCTGCATCGGTTTTGACAGCTGTAATGAACTGTCCCTAAAACTTACTTCTTCTTTTTTAACTCGTTTTAAGAGAGATAAATGTACATGAAAACAATGGGGTATAAAATTCACAGCCAAGAGTTTCTAAAGAGGAGGCAAGGAATATCAATGGGGCCAAGTACTCCAGGCAAGGCAGGGCAGGGCAAGTAATTTACATAGCACATCTCAAGGCAAAATGCTTCTCTTAAAACATCAAGACAAAATGCAAAAGAAACACACTATAAAAGGACACATAAACATAATTAAACAGTCATTAAGAGCAAGAGAATAGCTTATAAGAATAAGCTAAAAGAGAAAAAGGCAGGTATACAATACAAGAATACAAGTTACAGTGCGGTGCACCAGTATGTAATATGAGAAATGGTTCGATTACTTTTTCCTTGGAGGATCAAATGAGCATCTTCTGCCAAATATGTGAATAACTGCTATATTGCTGCTGTTGGATCTATTTGATGCAGCATGAATGCACCTGTTCATGTTTTCATGCTGCCAGACTGTAGGGGTATGTTGGCACACAAAGTCTTGTACTGTTGGTGTTCTTCTTCTACCTTATGGCCTCTGGAAATAGGGCTGGGTGACATGGAGAAAATCAAATGTGATATTTTTCACTAAATACCTTGATATTGATATTGTGACAGTATTTTAGGACTGATTATAGGTGTTTCCACAAAATATTTAAAGGGTAAGATATTTGATAAAATATATTTTGGTCAAGGCAAATAATAAAACAGCTAGAACAGTCTGGTAAATTGTGAAAATCACATCACTTCACTGTAATGCAGCCTTTAAAACCACTGCAAAAGAGAGAAAAAACCCCAACAGTATTTTGATATCCAAAATCTAAGATGATATCTGGTCTAATATTTCGTTTCATTTATTTTATTTTATTTATAAGGACATCACACATTAAGCAGCATTCCTTTAAATGTGCCAGTGTTAGCCAGCGGGCTAATTTTCAACTGCAGTCCTTTGGCAAGATGTTTTGAAACCAATAAAAAGATTAAATTCACAGAACAAAGACGGTAGGGAACCATTAAGACAGCATTAACTAAATGAAATCCTAAAAAAATATTGATATTGATAAATTGCCAAAACCTATCTGCAAGTGCTTTATGTAAGGTCCTACTTAGCTCAAACTCAGCTTGTAATTTCAGTTTCTGGAGGGAATCTGCTTTGTATTCCAACAATGATGCTTCCTTCAGACTTATGAATTCTGCCTTTCCTTTCCCTCCTCTCCATTTCAGGACTCTGTCCAGCAGTGATGATGTGGAGGACAGGGAGACAGAGAAGGGTCGTCTGGAAGAAGCCTTTGAGACATGTGACAGGGATTTAGATGAGCTGATCGTTCAGCATTATGCTGAACTCACCACTGCCATCAGGACCTACCAGAGCATCACTGAGCGCATCACCAGCTCCCGCAACAAGATCAAACAGGTAGAAAGGAGAGATATGTATACACAGATATACTCTGGAGGGCTGAATAAACCATTACTGGAGTTCATGCTTACATTGTTTCAGATGGATTTCAAAGTAGTGATGCTAAGCTGTGTGTAATCAAAAGCAAAACATGTTTTACCATCCATTTGTACATAAAAAGGGTTTCTTATCACAGTTTTTAGGCTTTTTATCCTCTAGCTGTATGTTCACACCAGAAGCTTCCAAAGAGGCAAAGTCTGTTGCGTCTGAACGTTTGATCGTGCTTGTCAATTTAAAGGAGCCGCAAAGCGGACTACTGGCTTGAAAGCAGCGTAGTTGCTGCTTGCTGTTGTCCAGTCAAAAAGCTCATAGTTGGTTTGGTCAGTGAAAACAGAAAACATATGTCATCCCATTACAACCAAGCAAGGAAGACTTGCATGCTAAGTCGTAACATTAGCCTGCAATTCTCTTCTCTATTACTAACATTACACACTTTAAAACTCACCAGACCAACCAACTACCTCTGCGACGCGGTCCCAAGCCTCATTCTTTTTATTTTGTTCTCTGTAACCGAACAGTGACACATTATAAAGGACTGAGTGGGCGCAAACGCAAGTAATACACTGTAACAAAGCTACATGGCTTGTTCTCTGGGACCCGCTTCATCAAAGCACGTCAGTATTCCGACTGGTTGCTGCTGAACCGCGTCAGAGCTCATTACCATAAAGTTTAACTCCCCTCCAGAGCCGCTCCGGTTGCTTTGGTCGCCCTAGACACGCGGTTGACGACCAGGTCCCCCAAGTCGCCCAAGTTGCCGGGGTCTCATTGAAAATGAATGACTTCTGCCACTTTGGAAGCTCTGGTCGCTTTTGGCGTGAACGTACAGTAAGACTGAAAGACTGACTTCATTAATACAAATCCGTTTCACCCAAGAAGAAAACAACCTAGTTAAAAATTGTCATCTTAAGTCAGAATCCTTAGCTCCTTTATATAATCTTCATCATCACACTTGTAAAATAAACATTGTAAATGTGGAGGGCAACCCCTCGGTCCCTTCCATATGCAAGCCCATACAGATTCGGCAAAAGGGACATCCAGTGTCCTAGCACTTTTTCTCAGCAGGATAAAACTGTATTTTAACCAAGGTGTTCTGACACAGTTCAGCAGGTTTACAGAGAAAAAACTTCTGGCCCGTTTTCATTGGAAGGAAGGAAGAAAACATTACATTTGGAGTGGATTCGAATCATGGAGTGGATATAAAAATTATTTTTCACTTTTGTTAATATTACAAGATAGTTCATTTAGCCTTGGTGGAGACCTGTGCTTTCCGAGTGCCCTTCTACAGTAGTTTAAACAATAGGTCAGGAGAAACCATGCTTTACCACAAAACTGTTCTTGAAGTAACCTGTATGATAGGTGATATTTTTCTTTAGTGGAGCTTTAATCTGTAAAGACACATGTATGGCTCAAACACTAAGAGATAAGGAGTGACTTACTTTGTACCTTTTACCATTCAGCTTTCATAAAAACATTTTTTTTTAAAGTACCTTTTCAGTATTTGCAGAAATGGCTAGATGTACACCTCCAAAATATTTTTGTTTGTTGGCACTGCTGCACCTAAAATCTGCCTTGTGGTCAAGTATAATGTCTGACTTTTTTTATTTCAACTTGCTCTGTTCTGCAGGTGAAGGAGAACCTCCTGTCTTGTAAGATGCTGCTCCACTGCAAAAGGGACGAGCTGAGAAAGCTGTGGATAGAGGGCATCGAGCACAAGCACGTCCTCCAGCTGCTGGATGAAATCGAAAGCATCAAGCAGGTGCCTCAGCGGCTGGAGGCCTACATGGCGAGCAAGCACTACCTTCATGCCACAGATATGCTGGTGAGTAGATGGATGGGATGGATGTGTGAGTGTGTGTGAGCTGTACAGTTGTTTCAGTAAGGTAAAAAGACAGACAAACAGAATGAAACAAAAAAAGAAATGCTTGATAGATTTGGTCTTTGGTGATTTGGTGTTTTGTTTAGTTTCATGGTAACGGAGATGAAGGTGTGAAATGGAAAAAGGAAGGATTGTTATCTTGTTCTTGAAGGTGTGGGAAGACCTATTGACATGTATTAATGCACATGAGGCAACACTGACGCAGTGTGCACAGTACACATACATAAACACCAGCTTCTCTATGAAGTGTTAATGCTAAGATTGATTTCCTGGCACCTCTCAGTCCTCTAAAGAATCATTTTCCAGCAGCCTTGAACAGTCCAGTGGGTGCAACTCTTTTACTTCAAGAGAACAGCATCTAAGTGCAGCGAGGAGCGCTGCAGGTGTGTATGTTTGCGTGCGCTCTTGTTCTTTTGATGTGTGTTTTGCAGTGTGCTCGGCAGGGGAGCTGGAGGATGGCACTGAGGTCTAAACGACCGGGCTCTGTGATCCCTCTGCTCCTTTCCTTCACTTCCCTTTTCCTCTCTCCCTTCTCTGTCACACCCACACATCTTCCTTCAGACTTTGGTAATAATTAGTTTGCTAGAATGGGGTTATCTGAGGAGGAGGAAAAAAGAGGGATGATGGTATGCCCAAAGGACCATGAAAAATCCTCTTTGTGGGGGTGGAAAGAAGTGAGACTTCAGTCAACCTGTGCTCAGTCAGTACAACGTGTTTTTGAAAGGTTGTAGAGAGTTCAAAGTCAGTTGGACGCTTTCGCCTCTGTCTTGCACACTTCAAATGCGCTTTACTTGATCCGGATGGTTCATTGGTATGTAGAAAGCACACTTTAAAGCACATTTTATATGCCTCTACATATCAAAATGCTGTTGGATGCATTTGTTCTACCTTTTGCTTTGGTGACATCTTTATGCAGTTCATGAATAAATAATGTATGAAAAGTCCACTTTCAATAACCCACACTTAAGCTAAAGTAGAGGATGTAAGTTATGATTATACAATGGCAGAATGTCATCCTTGAAATAGCATATTTTGTTAGGTTGTGAACTAAAAAAGAAGTCCCAACTTTCCATATTTATTTAAAAGTTTTCGCACTGACATGTTGGACTTAATATGTATATATACTCCGATCAGTCACAACATTAAAACCACTGACAGGAGAACTGAATAACATTGGTCATCTTGTTGCAATGCAATGTTATACTTGGAAACCTTTGGTTCTGGCATTCATGCGGCTGTCACTTGACACGCACCATCCACCTAGACTTGAAAAGTCTCCCCCAGCAGGACGACGCGTCACACCACAATGCAGAAACTGCTCAGGAATGACCAGAGGAATGTGACAAAAAGCTCAAGGAATTGAACTGACCCCAAATTCCCCACACTCCAGTCTGATCAAGCATCCGTGGGACATGCTGGAACAAGTCCAATCCATCCAATCCATGGAGGTCCCACTTTGCAATCACACAGGACTCAAAGGATCTAGCAATGCCTTGGTGCCAAACACCACAGGATACCCAAGGAGGCCCCACAATGGATCGGACTTGGCCCTGACCCAGTAAGGCATGGACATAGAACCTCTTGAGTACTGGCACACCCCACTTATGCTGGATCAGATTTAGATCTGGGGAATTTGGAGGTCAGATCAGCACCTTGAGCTTTTCATCACATTCCTTGGGCCATTCCTGAGCATTTTTTTGTGGTGTAGCAGGATACACTGCCCTGTTGGGGGGCCACTGCTATCAGGGAGTGTCGTTGCCATGAGGGGGTGTACAGTGTTAAAGTGGGTGGTGCGTGTCAAGTGGCATCCACATGAATGCCAGGACCCAAAGCTTCCCAGCAGAACATTGCATATATCAAGATGATCAATTCTATTCACACCACCGGTCAGTCATTTAATGTCTCGGCTTAATAGGTATTTTTTATTTTTTAACATGGTAAAAGTGTTGACGATAAAAATCTGAAGAGCGACCTGACCAAGAGGGCAGTATAAATTTATTTACGACAGTAAACAGAAGCAGACAAGTACGACTGCCACACACCGCAAATGAGCAAGCACAATATCCAATTAAAATGCAATACAAAAAATACATAAATACATTGAATACATTGTAATACATAAACAAATTAGTGAAATTTTCACATTGACCAAGAGTGCTCTTTTCTGTATCCTTTAAAATTGACTTAAATTTCCCCATAGTAATCAGCTCCAAAAGTTTCCAGGAAGATAGGGCAGCGTTTTTACCTCATCAGTTTGAAACTGAGGACCAACATCTAGAATACTGTGAGAGCGCAAGCCATATTGATTTTGATTTTCACACATTGATGTACATAGATAAGAAGGAACCAGCCCAAGCAGAGATATATATAAAAAACCAACCAATGCGAAGTCTGCGGACAAACAGAGATAGCAATTAAGCAACAGCATACAGTGTATGGTGCTGTACATGGTTCCTACAACCTGTACTAAGACAATGGTGTACAGTATCCAACTTCCTTAGGCACTGGTCAAGGGCATTCATATAGAGCAGATCACCGCAGTCCAATAAAGGTGAAATGAACTTGCTGAAATCAAGTGTTTGCTTGCCTGGAGGAAGAGACAGGATTTATTCCCGAAAAAGAAACTTGCTTTCAGTTTCAGCTTGGAAACAAGGTTGTCAATGTGTGGTTGGAATGACAAGTTCTGATCAATAATAGCAGCTGAATACGGAGCCAAAATAATAGCTTGCAGTGAAATGAGTTGCAGAACAACCTGTACATGCTGGATACTAAGAGGTCAAACAGCAGGTTCGGTGTAGGCTGCTATTGAGCAAGTAATAGCTATGTGAGAAAAGTTGGTGTCTGGTTTCAGTGTACACCTGGTTCAAAATATTCTGTTTCTGGTGCATATCAGCTTGTGAAATGTACAGTACATGGAGTGTAAATCTTTCAATACAAACTTACTTTGCACTGTAAACTGGCCAAAGGAATAATGTCACCCAAACTGAAAGAAGTTATCTCTTGATATCAAGAAAATTATGATTATCAGACATAATATGACAATTAGGTTTATATGAAATCTTTAAAGAGTCTCTTGCAGTGTTAACTGCATCTTTCCCCCTCTGATATAATGTATACTGCCTCGATACACACACACCCTCTGTGTCTCCCCACTGTAACATCATACTGCCTGTGTCACTTCTCTGAGAGTCCCTGAAGTGTTTATTCCCATCATGCTGTCACTCATTACAGCACTCATCTGTCAGATTAACGTCTCCGCGGTTTTCACATGCGCCTGCTGTTGCCTCTCCTCTCCTCATACTGTATTTCTCCCCCTCTTTCAGTATTTCTTGAACAAAAAGTTTTAAATGTTTTGTGCTGACAGACTCACACAGTATTTATCTTTCATATTTTTGCTGTGTAGTGTGGCAGGAGTAGACTAGCCAGGAATAAATGTCCAAGCCTCTCTATCTCCTTCACTGTTTCTTACTCTCCATGACGTTGTATTTGTGTGTGTGCCTGTGTGTGTGCGCCTGTGTGTGTGTGTTTATGTGAGTCTTATCTCCAAGGGTTGACAATTAGAATTCAGACTATGCTCTCTGTCTGCTATTGAATGGCAGTCTTAGACCCCATGGGTTTGGTTAAAAATGAGATTGGCTTTTGAAAAAGTCCTCTCCCTTCTTTCCTCTCCCTTTATCTTCTCATATTCCCTTGTTCCTGTAGTGTCACAAAACCCAGGTGCACATACAACTGCCAACATCCCCCATGGAGCTCGGAGCTTAGTGATAAGCTGTCATACCTCTCTTCTCCGTTCGGTCCTTCTCGCCATCTCTTGCTCCCAAGCAAATTCACCAGAGGCTTCATATCCCTCATTACGCTGACAGGCCTGGCGCCCTAATGATGTTAACCAGCCTTCCTCTGTCATCCCAGCCCAATGGTAATGAGATAACCCCCCCCCCCCCCCCCCCACACACACACACACACACACACACAGACACGTAAGTGTTAAATGATTTACAGTTATACAATCACACACATATAATCACACACAGACACATCTGGGGGTTTGTACACACAACCACACACACACACACACACACATAGGACACGCAAACCCTCGCAGGCATGCCGAGTTATTCTATTAAACCAAAGGGGGGTGATCATGCTGCGCATTAGCTCATCTTGTCACTAATGTGGCTCTCATTTGCATCAACACACACTTGACCCATGCACCCGACGCAGCATCCACCCCCCCTCCTGCTACCCATTCCCTCCTGGCATGCCCTGGCCATGCAAATATTCTTTGCAGTGCTATCATCTGGCCATTAGTGCCCTTGAAATACACACAGAAATGCATTCACATAAATACACACGTGCAGAGTGGCACATTTTATTTAATGGCATGTAGATTTATTAATTGCAATCATGCCACAACCACTGCTGCTCCTGCTAATGGAAGCTAAGGAAAGAGCAAAGGAGAGAGGGAGAATGAGTGGATTTGGAGAAATTTAGAGCGTGAGTCAGAAGAGCTTGAGGAGACTTTGAATCAGTTTTTGGAGGGAAATATATTTGTCATTTATTGTGCATAATAGTAAGGTTGTCAAGATTTTTATACTTTTTCAATACCACATTTTTAACTCTCTCAACCCCTCTGCGGGTTGGGGGAGAGTTACTGCCTTGGTTCGGTGCAGCTTCTGCAGTGATGCAGGTGCAGGTCCGTCGTGGTGAAGAGGGAGCTGAGCTGGAAGGTGACGCTTCAGATTTACTGGTCCATCTACGTCCCAACCCTCACCTATGGTCATGAGGTTTGGGTAGTGACTGAAAGAATGAGATCACGGATGCGAGCAGTCAAAATGAGTTTCCTTCGTAGGGTGGCTGGGCTCAGCCTCAGAGATAGGGTGAGGAGCTCGGACATCCGGAGGGAGCTCGGAATAGAGCTGCTGCTCCTTCGCATCGAAAGGGGTCAGTTGAGGTGGTTCGGGCATCCGATCAGGATGCCTCCTGGGCGCCTCCCGCTGGAGGTGTCCCGGGAACATTGGAAGCTGGAAAGTGTTGCTGGGGAGAGGGACGTTTGGGGTGCTTTGCTTGGCCTGCTGCCCCTGCAACCCGGCCCCGTATAAGCGGATAGATGGATGGATGGATGGATAGATGGATGGATGTTTAAAATGATACAGTCTAAATACAGCCGATGGAATGAAGGTACTTAAGCTATCTAAATAAAACCCCAAACAAATCTACAATCAGATTTTCAACTCAAGGCTGCACAGATAAAACAACAGGGAAGAAAATCAACTGTTCCTTGACCTGTTGCTGTTATAGCAGTCTGTCTAGCAGCAAACCCACCACATGACTGGAGGTTTGTGTTGCGTGAATTTTTTCTGTAGCAGCACTATGAGCAGCTTGTCCATTAAATTAAAAAAGAAAAAAAAAGATCATATTTTGTGTGCCTAGGACTTTTTAAAAAACTTTTTGCTGTGGTATAGACAGTTGAATCAAGTTTTCTATACTAGTATTGTGTCAAAGTTTAAAGTTCTGGTATTGTGACAAAAAAATATTGTAGTGTCTGTCATTGTGGTTGTTTATCTCATTGCAAACATGGAGTGAAGCTTCAACATTGCAAGCTCTCTGGGAGCTTCTTGCACAATTGTCGTGAATTGAAGAATCTTGAAGATTGGCTAACAGTTTAATAGTAAGGGAATGTTTGGGATGAATAAGGCTTTGACTGCAAAATGACCAGCTGCTGGGTTTCTCAATTTACATCGAAAGCAGAAGGTGTAATATCAGATAGAATGATCTACAGGTGGTCTGACAAGTCAATTTGACTGTCATTATGATCATATTTCCATTAGACACCATATAATATTTGTGCAGATTTTCCACCAACTGAGGAACACTAACGACAGGTTGGTGGGTTAATAAGTTAGATTTCTTTTCTCTGTATAGCTCATATGCAGCTATGATTGGGTAAGAATTCAATATGACCACATAGAGATCTTCGAGGGATTTTTTCTGTACATGATTGTCCTGTATTTGTAAGGTGGAATTTTACTGGGAGTGTCGAAGAACAATGAATGTTGGTTGTGTGATTATGTGTTTTTCAGTGGCCATGAAAGTTTTATGTTAATTGGCCTCAGAATGAGTTGCATTACATTTTTACCTTTTGCTAGGGTGTCTCTGGTTGAATTTCAGGCCAGGTATCTTTGTCATGTGTTCTGCTGTACTTGTCCTTTCTGTAGCTTTGTGGGCGAGGTGAAAATCTTCAAATATCAGACACTGAAACTTGAAATGTACAGCTAAGAATAACCTGTGATTGGCTGGCATGTTGTCATATGCAGGTGTCAGCTGTGGACTCCTTAGAAGGCCCCCTGCTGCAGGTGGAGGGACTTGGAGATCTGCGCCTGGAGCTCCACAGCAAGAAGCTCAACATCCACCTGGTGCTCATTGATGAGCTGCACCGACACCTCTACATTAAGTCCACAAGTCGCCTGGGACACAAGAACAAGGACAAAAATGCTGCTCGCCTTCCAGGGTAAGGGCTGGTTCCTTATTTCTTATTATATGGTTACCACTTTGGGTAAGATGTCCACACAAGAATAGAAATGTGAAAATAGGACATCAGTGTCACCAGGGGAAGCTTGGCTATTTACTTATGGTATTTGTGCTTGCGCAAAAAATGTGATTAATGTTTTAGTATTGCTTCTGATCTTGTGCAAGCACTTACAGTATTTTGCACAGTTGCACAACTGGTGGTCAGAAATGTTACTGTCTCATTTTAAGATACAGGAAGTAAAGACTTAAAATTGCTGAGATATGAAAAATATAACTTTATGAATTGTATTCTCATGTTGCAAAGCAAATCTCAAAATATTGGGTGACATGTTTTTAAAAAGAAAAAAGAAATCAACGCCTCTCACTGTAATGTCAATCATATCAGGGGCTGTATTCACAAACATTCTGAGAACACTCTCAGAGAGCTCCTAACTTAGCCTAAAATCTTTTAGTCAGGAGTCCTAACTTAGGAGTGATTTAGGAAAATTCTCAGAGCAAATCTGAGTGAGGAAGGGACAGAAACTTTTAATCTAGTGAGGAGGTGTGATCGGCCCTATTGCTAGGTATAATGCTTTCTTTTAACAGATGTGATGGGTTGTCACAGACATGGCCTTTTGTGAGCCTGCTAGGTGTGGACACCCAGTGGAAATGAAGTGAACTGCATCACAATATAAGACTGAAAATGCTGTCAGACATTACGTTTACATGCAGCTTGAAAAAATCAAATTATGGGCTTAGTCTGACTGAAACTGGACTTTTAAATGCATGTAAACATCTTAGTCTGACTGAAATTGGACTATCCGTAGCTCGACTAACACACCTAGATAATTTGATTGAAAACCGAACTATTGATGCATGTATCCACTAAGTCTGACTGGAGTCGCACTCGGCATTCTGCGCATGCACCACTATTTCTTTTGTGGGCTTTCACCTGGAAGAAGAAGGAGATGACGTAGCCGCAGTTCAGTATAAACTGTAGCAGTGCAGTATCTCCTGGAAAAACGAACAAACACCATGGCGACCAAGAAGAACAAGGCGCACTTCTGGACGGACGAGGAAACTACATTCATGCTACGACATTGTTAGTGTGATGGAAGGTTGAGACAGACCCAAGTCATTACTGCTGGACTGTTACATTTTTTCCAGTTTACTCAAATGTCTTAGTATTGGTGTAACAGTGTAAGGTGGGAAATATGTGCATATGCCTAATGACATCAACCACACATATTATCCCTGCACAATCTGATCTGTAGCGTTTCATTTACTCACTGTCATTCAGAGTTTGGAAAATATTTCTCTGACCTCTTTGTGTTTCCGCCATTTTCTCCTCTGATTAAGAAACTCTTAAGCCTCTTATAAGTCCTCCTTCCTACTCCAAACAGCTTTTAACTTTAGGAGCTCTTTTAAGGTCTAAGATGCTATGTGAATAGCTTATCTTTACAGGGACCTAGTCTTTATTTTAAGGGGAAATTCGACGAAAATGCACAATTCCAAGAGTTTTCTTAGAATTTTTGTATTTGGAAGCTTTGTGAATACGGCCCCTGGATCCTGGAACCAACAACACTCATATTTTATTTTTGGCTTGGGTGCTCAGAGCAGAGGATCCAGAGGATGGCTTTTTAACCTAGATTTCTTGGCATGGCTGAAACCGATACAAGGCAATGCATACGAGAAAAGTTGTATTTTATGTTACAACAAAGATTTGGGCAAAATTTGTCCCTAATCCTAAGTAAATGATGTTGGGTCACATTTTTTTCCTCCACTTTTGGTTATTGTAAAATTTGTCTTAAATTTCATTCTGAGTGGCATCTGAAAAGTCTAAAAAAAACTTAATCTCACTTGCCTTATGCTGTAGGAACCCTGTATTAACATACATATAAGATTCTGGAAAGCTGTAGTTATTCTTTTATGGGTTCACACAACAAACACTGAATATATTTTATTTCATTTTCTCACAGCGTATCACTAATATACTGTTTAAGTGTGTGCAAGGTTGAGAGAGATGGAGGGAGTGAGGTCCAAAAAAAGTTATTGACTGCTATAAAATACATCTTTTAGCCGGTTTGTTTGGTCTGAGGTACCAAAAGCCTTTCTTGTTTGCCTATTATGTAGTAAACAGAGATGTAGCCTTCAAAGCTCCCTCTTCTTTGAAAAGTTTTGACTGTACAGATGTGTATTCATTATGAGTTATTCCACTGCTGCCGGGACAACATGGCAATTATTTACTGTATGGAAACCTAGCCAATTACTGACAAAAACAATTAGACCCTGTGTTACTTGTTGCTCTATTTCTTCATGTTTGTTCTCTGTGCTGTGAAGTTCCAAAGAAACAGATGGAAAAGCCCCCCTGCATCATTTATTGTAAAGAGTCTGTAAAAACATCAGATATATATTTAAACAAACGGTTTTAAAACCTGGGAGAAATTGTCAGTTATCAGTTCCTAGTGGTGAAGAAATGAGAGAACAAAATTAAACAAATATAGTTTCTGTGTGACATGAAGTAGGTTGTGCAGCCATCAGGAGAATAACTTAAGCCATACCTCCATGACCCAAGATCCAGTTTCTTAACTTATTAGGGATAATGCAGCACAGTGGCTTCGAACACGCTGCTGACGCTGTTCTGCTCCTGTGAATGGTGTTCAGTTTGAGTATTGCTTGCACTTTTACATGCGTGTCTGTGTGTGTGGGGTTCAGTAATTATGGTGGCAGTGGGTTGGCGAGGTACAGTGATTTATTACTGAGCCAGTGACAGGTCCTGGCCTTCCTGTATTGGGTCGCCTCTAACAACAAGCCAGCCTCCATACACCCCACTCACTTAGCAGACACAGTGTGTTTATACCGCCCAACATAAAGGACCTGGATTGCTTCCACCTCCGGCTTAAGGCTTGATAAATGGCTCATTGGAAAACAGCACCAATCCCACCCAGAGATGCAAGGCTTTTTTGTTATAGCAGTAGATTGTTTTTGTTAGAAAAGGGCAGGTTAGTGGGTGCATTTCTGTCAGCGCATACTAAACTTTTATATGTGTATAAAAAACTATTACCCCAGATTTTTGGAGTTAATGTGAACCTATTCCTCTCACACATGACTCGACAATAAATTGAATCTAATCTAATCTAATCTAATCTAATCTAATCTAATCTAATCTAAGGGGCTCTTTACATGCCGTGCTTTTGTGCCCTGAAATCCATAGCTGGCAATGTAGGTGTGCAGAATGTGCACTCAAAAGCGAGAGCGGCGTTCAGGGTGTGACAACAGTTGGAATGCAGCAATAAAACTGGGTATCAGTAATTGATACCTTTTAAGATATCAAGTAAAATAACCCAGAACCAAGTAGTATCAAAACTTCCTTAGTCAAACAATGCCTGCATTTGATCACTTTTGTTCCCATAAGAATTATTTCAAGTGAAGTACTTTATTGGTGTCAGTATGGTATTGGTACTGGTATCGTAACTTTATAAATGATACCCAGCCCTAAGCAGTAGCTCATGCCATGTGAAGAGGAACAACCAATCACAGCTGGCATATCACTTTACTTTTTTTGATCAGTATCACTCTATCTTAACTATGGAGGAGATGCTGATCATTTTAATTCATGGCTAGACAGAGCTGTAAACTTAAAACTTCAGTATGAAGGCTATGATACGGTGCTGAAGTGCGGAAGTGCTGCTGGTCGACAAGAGGTTCTGCCCCCAGCTGTTGTCTCCGTCACCCCCCGGCTTGAAACATTCGCTCGCAGCTCACGCAGAAAATAGACCAGACGCCGAAACGGAGCTGCGCGGCGCAGCGCAGCCGGTGTGGATGACACAATCGGTTAACATGGGCGGTGTGGCCATGGGTCAGAGAGGGGGGGCGAGCGAGAGGTCCGCGGTCGTTTATAACGTAATGTTATAGATAATTGTTTTATGTGTTTTAATGTGTAGGTATGTAAATGTTTTCAAAGACCTTTATGTTGAAATAAAAATACCTACAGGTAGTTATGTTTCCTTGTGTTAATACATTTACAAGTATGTTTCCTTGTATTAGTTTGCCCTCTTGTGGACATAATGCGAAAAAAAAAAAATCGAATGGTTCGAACCTATGAGTTATTTTTAGAAGGAATATTCGAACGTCATTTTTGAGCAATTTTGACAGCCCTATTGCTTAGCAACATGAGACGCAACCTACCTCCACGCTCTTTGAAGTTGGCACTATAGGCTAAATCCAGACGTCTGCACTTCACCGTACTTGCAGACTTGTGGACTTTGTGGGTGCATTCCCGAAAAGTCTGGGAGTGCTTAGGGCTGTCCAAAGCTACAATTCATCCAGTCCACAAGGGGCCTCAAGTGGACTCTCTGCAGACTTCCAGAGAGTCCGCTTGGGGTGACTTCAGCAGACTTCACTGATTTAATAACCCACAAGTCATTGCAATACAGACGTGATGTTGTGGGTTTTTCAACTGCCAAAAAAAAAAGTTATTGATAGGTAGGCCTATTAAAATGTTACTTGAATTGTGTAGACCAGAAATAATATTCAGCCACATCATGATACAGAGATATGTTTAAATACAGTGTGCAGTGAAATAGGCTAAAAAAAATAGCCAAAAACAACAAAGAAGGTCTTCAATTTATTGAGTTATAGTCGTGTCCTTGTATACAAACATTTCTGTTTTTGAAAGCGTGTAGCCTTTTATAAAAAGATGTATTAATACATTTTTGTGTAGTGACAAAAAAAGTTAATACATGGGATTTATATCTTGTTATCTGCAGGAACACATGAGTAGGCAGTGTTCATCAACTTATACAGTATGACATATATGTCAATATGACAGCAGCAATGTTTGAACATTTCCACGGCAACGAGTTAAACACTCGAGGGCTGTTTATCAGCTGCTTGCATTCTCTGCCCTTGCAGACTTTACACGATGACAGTGAATACGTCACACTCCATACAACTGAAGTCCGCAAGGGCTCGATCTGCTAGTCCAGAGGGTGGACATCTGCATTCTGCCATAGCAGCTTCCCAAAAGTGAAGCCAAAATATCTGGATTGCCCCCTGGTGGCTGGCTGCAGTACAGGTCATAAACCCCGCCCCCTTCACGGTAACATTTAACATTTGGGACATTTAGCCAAACAAAAACTCGAAGTATACATCAAATACATTTTTCCCAAAGATGGGTTCTGCCATTTTAGGTAGCTGTTATCACACTGATGTATGTTTGTGGTTTTTTTTTTAAAGTAAGTTTGGTTTTAATTAGTTATTGGATGCTATAAAAAGGGGTTGACGTCATGAATGACAGCTACGTGTGCCAGTGGGTGTGCTTGCGATCAATGGTGCTGCTCGCAATTGGTTGGATGGGTGTATGGGCGGGAAGTCAATACCGTTGAGATCACTACTGTGCAGACTCTGGCCGCAAATGGTGTCAGCAATGCAAGATGGCAGTGTCCCTATCTGGGATATTTTGGCTTCATTTTTGTAAGTTGGAGGAAGTGGAGACGTGTTTTTCATTTTTTTTATCCAGTCTATAGAGTAGCATGAAGTAGCAGCCAGTGCCTGATCTTGTGTTTTCCAGGCAGTAAAAGACACAACATGTGTCCTGGCCTTAATGCAGTTGCAATATCATACTTTATATGAGCCCGAAAGCCTGACATTCACTAATATGACCTTTTTTATATTGATAATCACTATCCCTGGATTCTTTTTTCTCCTCACAGTTCCACGACCAAAGACACATCTCCAATGCCAGTGTTGGATGTCAGCAGCTTGTCCACCCCGCGCAAGCTCTTGGATTCATCACAGTTCAGCACACCTGGATCCAGCAGTGGTAAGGTCCTTATGTCAAATCAGATAGTGGATTAAGAAGGAATAATAAAAGGGTGGTGGCTTGGCAAAAAGAAGGTGAGAAGATTATGAGAAGGAAAAGAGATGCAAAAAGTACTGGGAGTTTTAAGAGAATGTTTCACGAAAACAAACAAAAAAAACATTTGTTATATGGTTTGCTCTCCATTAAAATTGCATACATTAGGAGCTCTGTGGAGATAAACACATCAACAAAGCAGTGTTGTTGGTCTCTTTGGATAACAAAGTGTGTGGATTTCAGTTTGCAATTTTACTTTCAATCTGCCGATATCCTTAGTGATAATGAAGTCATTAGCATCATTCTGGCTTACATCCATTTGCATGTCATTACGGGTGTGTATTGCCAGCACTTCTCACACACACACACAGTATTATTGAATGCACACAGAAATTGCTGATCCGAACTATTGTACAGAGAACTGAACACATTACTGATGCCTCTTCACACAAGCTCATTGTACCCACATTTCTCTCCTTGCAGTGTGTGTCATCACATCTTCAACTATGATCATAATATACATTCCCTTTTGCTAACATTATAATCATCTCGTCTCCCCCGTCCGTACCATTAGTCACCCAGCATCTCTGTCATCACAGCAGGGGGACGGCATTCATTACGCTCAAACTGGTAACCAGTGCTGTAACAGGGACTGATAATGCAGACTATAACTGTATTCAGGAATGTATGAATTCTCTCTTGGTTGTAGGGGCGTAGAGTCAGCACTGCATTCCTTCCAGGCAGAGAACAGAGGAACGCAAACAAGAAGATAATGAAAAAAGTTAATCCTGCAATAACTTGGTGTTCCCTTGGTGTTTCTGAGATTTTATATTAAGCCTGGTATTTTTTTTTTTTTTTTTTCACCACCCACTCTTGGCGTTCGAAGTTAGCGACTCATGGTTTCTTTTTAGCTCTGTGGATGCCATGCAACCATACACTGTCCTGTGCATACCACTCACAAACATATAATCTTATTGCTGCTGCTACCTAACTTCCAGACTAATCCCTGGGGATAAATTAAGTTCTACCTTAGCATTTGATTGGTTCCTGAAAAGCAAGGTTTCCTTGAAAGCTGTGATGGCAGCCAACATTCTTATTCCATCCAGTGGTTGCATAACTTGTGTAGTTCTCTCTGTTGTTCTCTGTGTTTCTGTCTCTTTTGCTTTTAGCTTTTATTTCTTAGAGGGCTTATGTACGGAAGCAGGCAGGTGAGAGGCAAGTGAATAAAAAAATTCCGTGGTCCCTTTTCTAAGTCTGATCTAAATTGTTTTCTCATCTGTGTTCATGATTTAAGAACAGGTAAAAAATGTTTTGCTGGGATAATGTGATTAATGTGATAATCACTGCCTCTCTGTGGACCGTGCTCACGTGCGCGCGCTCGTGCGTGAGACCAGCGAAAGCACATGAACACACATGAAGGCGGTGCCCATGTTTCACGGTCTTGTGCACACGCATCAGTGCAGTCCACAGAGAGGCAGTTAGAGCGACAGGCTACAGTGAGGCTAAAAACAGAGTTCAAATGATGTTTTTCCAAACAACTTTTTATGTCCGGGCTTCAGGACTTGGATCACTACGGACGAACAGTGGAGATATTTTGTGGTTTCATTTATGTGATCTTGGATGTTTTAATCTGGGGCACCGTCAGCCATTAGGTGTGCAGTTGTGCTGCTGCCCACTCCCCCCTAGGATCTCCGCAAGTGTTGTGAGGACTCTAAAACTTCACCAGAGCCTCCCTCGGCATGAGGGTGAGTAGATAATGGCTCTCCAATTTCCCACCGTGCTGTTTTAAAACTCCAGTTTACTCGAGCATTAACATGGGGAGGGGGACTGCTGTAGCACCCTCTAGTGGCGGGCGGCTCTATTACAGTTAAGCGGCCTTGTATATGAATAAAACACTAATTGGTTTAACCGACTAATATTTCTGGTGCTGACTAGTGAGAGGGTGGACGTTTAATCATTTAGACGTTTAATGGTGTGCATCCCCAGAAGGGACTGGATAATCTTTCCAAGTTCCACGAAAATTGAACTTACATAACTTGTAAGTAATGTTACATAAATTGCTAACACACAAGATATGTACCTTGCGTTTAGAGTGCATGGAGAAGTTAAAACTCACTTGGAAGAAAACATGATAGTGGTGCACGTCAGCCTCTTGTGGCTGAAATGAGTATGACAGCAACAAATACTAAGAAAAATGATCCTCACCAAAATAATTAAAAAAACAACCCTTTTTTAATCTCCTGTTTTCATTGATGAAAAGAAATAAAAAGATGTTACGTAAAAAATTATCCAGGCAAAACCTTTTTTCCCCCTTTCTGAAGTCATAAAGACAGGAGAATTTTTTTTTAGATCAGACCTAGAAAATAGATCACCATATTTTTTTCTCACTTGCCTATCAGAGCTTCTGCACATATGTCATCTACAGCTATCATTTCATTAATGTATGTTTTACTCTCTTTTCATTCACTCAGCTCAACCCATCACTGTGAATGTATGTGCCATGACCCGAAACACACAAACACACATACAAATGTACGATCTGCCACTAATACATTATAAATATCTGTTCAAGTCACAACCCAATGGACCTGAAAGTAAAAGCTAAACCACAGCTTTCCCCACATTATGCAAAGAGAACACTGGCAATTAGCCACCCCCAGGCGGTAAGTGCCTATACACCGTCATGCTAACAACAGTGGTCACGACACAGCAGCCGGCTTCCATCAATGGCCTAGCTTGCCATTTTGTCTAATAGCATTAGAGCACCTCATTTGTAGCTAGTAATTGTCATAATTATTACACAAACTACAGTTGGAATAGAGGAAAAGAGGAAATACACCCAAAGTCCATTAACTTGCCATAAACATTAACTCTCTTAACATGCTTTGATGGGGAATTGGGAGGCCCCATCTAATGGAAATTAGAGCATCATTCACTGCTGCCACTCTCAATTTAGCCCCTAATGTGGCTAAGTCAGATGGAAAGAGCCTGAACGGGGGGAGGATAACAGGATAGGTGCAGGTGTGTGTATTTAAAAGGGAGAGATGTATATTAATAGATGCAAAGCTGTAATTTTATGTGTTTTAGTTTGTTATTAAAAAGGGAGCAGAAGAATTTTCATTACTAGGTTTGTACATATGTAGCTGTTATGTTTGTGTTAATGCCACCAGATGTCTGAAATGTATCAAAGGAAACACAGAGCGCCTCTTTTATGTTTGCCATATGAACATTAGGTCACGAGAATATTGCAGATTTGCGATGTTTGTTTGACTGTGTGATGTGGAATGTCTCCAAGGACTTTGTCTGTCAAGTCTTAAATGGACAGTTCACCCAATTTCTCTCTGAAAAGAGACAGTGCTGTTGATCTTTTCAGATCTATTAATTTGGTGCTTTGAGCACCACAAATGCCATCTAGTTCCATTATATTGAAGAGAAGGCAGACATCTCTATGGCTCATATCTTCAACACTTGGCAATTCACGCCTTAACAATCTCAACTGATAAATAGCACTACAGGTTAGAGGACAAATATGTATTTTGAAATTGGGCTGAACTCTTCCTCTCGGAGCACAATGGCTCAAAACATCCTACATAAAATTAGACAAGTAGTCAATAAATGTGCAATTACAAGCAAACAATGTGTGGACGTTTTAATTCTTCTTTTGTCAGTGGCTTTCTGCCATTGACCATTGCAACCTATGTGTATGTATATCTTGTCTGTAGTGCGTGAGCTGCAGCAGGATGTGCGGGAGTTGAACCAAGCAGACCTCTCTGAGGTGGATCCAGAGGAAAACAGTGCTGAGTTCATGGGCATCCTTATCAAGGTACATACATGAACACTGCTGAACAATACACACAGTGTTAGCTGTGAATTTTCACACATTTTCACAATTATGTAACAGTGGTCTATGTCGTTATTTTAGTGCCTCTGTGTTCTTACTTCAAGTAACGTGATTTTATTGTTGTTTTCCTCAGGCTCTGGCCAAGTTGAAGAAAATCCCGGAGACCATCAAAGCCATAATGGAGCGGCTGGAACCTGAGCTGAAGCAGATCGTCAAGAGGTCCACCACTCAGATAGCAGACCACGCTTACCAGAGAGGAGAAAACTTGGCCCAGGAGAGCCAGCCGAGGTAGAGTAATGAGACAGGGGGGGATAAGGAAACACACACTGAAGGAGAAAGGCCCTGTGTTAAAATATCATGGCTTCCTGAGAGTGGGGAACGATTCCCCGGAGAGTAAGGATTGCTACAGATCAGTGAAAAAATGGAGAAGACTCAAGGTTAATAATAGATAGTAAATGAACTGTTACTAGATAGCCATGAAGAGGAAACTATAAACAGTTCTGTGGAAAGATGAAAGCCATCTTTTTGAGATGTTTTCCTGATAGAGGATAATAAGTAGAATCAGCAGTGTTTCAAAAACATGATCAGTGTAAGCAGCAGTATGCAGCTACTGTTGTTAGCACTGAAATAAGACCTTAATAAAGCTGTCACTTGTAATCCCCTCAGTATTGTATCTATGCAAGAGTTTTATTAAAGCAGCCTGTGTGCTTATTCTTCTGTAGCTATAGTATTCCCATTAGACTCAACTCTCCAGTGTTATTAAGCACAAGGTGGCATCTCTCCAGTGATTCGTCGCATGTATTCTTACCAGTGCCATACAGCTCTTTATAAATAGTAGTACAGCTTTGATCAGTCACTAGAGGTGGGCTGATTTCTGGTTTTGACAGTCCAGTCTGGTAAAGGTTAAAAGTTTGATTTTATGAAAACTGGCTGAGCTGGTATTTGTCATTATAACACGTTCTGGCAAATTGAAAAGTAGCCTTAATTAGCAACCTGTGCTGACATCAACATGGCGCTAAATCCAACTTAAATAGCATTAATAAAAAGCAATATGACTATGTGATTAACAAAATATTATGTTTGTTTATAAACAGGCTAAAGGAGATACTAGTGTCTGACAGCTTTTGAGCTGAGCAGCAACAAAATGAAAGAGATAAAATTTCAGTAGAGATGGGAAGAGGGACGTGCAGCGCACGTTGTGTTTGTTTACAAGAAAGTTCATGTGTTTTTTGGGGTGACGAGGCAAGACGTGGCAGAGTTAGTTTCTCAAGAAAACTAAAACCGTAACTATACGTTCATTTTGGATTTGAAGCCAGCAAAAGGGGTGTCCCAAATAAACACGGGCGACACAATGGACAAGGAACAGCTGATTCATGAAGTCAAAATGAGGAATTATATATACCAGGTGTGTTAAACATACGGCCCATGGGCCAAATGGTCCAAACCGGCCCACTGGATGACGACACTTAAGAGGTGCCAGGTTTCAGGAGCAAGTTAAACAATTCGTTGCCGACTTCATGTAGAATTTTGCCTCATACTGTAGGCTTTTCCACCCTGACCAGAATACAGTTCTCTGATATAACAATGAATACTTACTGTACCATGTTTAAAGATACTGAACATTGCGCAAAATATTGTCAGTCAGCAGCTTCAGTTCAAAAGAATCTGTGTCAGGAAATGTGTGTATGAATGCACATGTAACGACAGTGAGAGGTAGACTGACTGAATGTGGAAAAACTGAGACATACTGTTGAAATTGCACTTATTTTTCTTAAAACATCTAAGGCTGTTCATCTGTTTTGAAAAGGACAAATGTCTACAGAATGTACTTGTAATTCTCAACACTAAAAAGGTGAAAATATTGGAGCGGATGTGACTTATAGGTTATTGCGCAATGGCTTTACTGCTCCGGCCCATCTGAAATTGAATTAGGCTGTATGTGGCCCATGAATTAAATGAGTTTGACACCCCTGATCTATACCACACCTCCTTATTTCACTGCAAAACACAAAATGAGGTCGCAGCTGGCTGGAGGGAGATCACCAGGGAGCTGAAAGTTTCTGCTAAATGACCATCGCTGCTTGCTGTTAGCTATATTGTAATTGTCATTTCCAGTAAATATCACAATACAAAACAGGTGTTTTCTGCTTAAAAAGTAATGTTACAAACGTAGAAAGACAGCAGGTTACTCACCCAGATCCTGAGCTCACAGCTGTTATTTACGTGGGTTGTTTACATAATGTAACAAAAGAACATATTTAATGGATTCAGCGTGGACAGAGAACGCCGATGTTACGTTATGAGATGTGAAAGTCAGATGCTTATTTGCTGTTAGGACACGGCGTCATTACGTTCCACTCAGGAGCAGCAGCTGAGTCAAGTACGAGTCAACACCTGGTAAAATTCAGTATAGCGTTCCAGTCTGGTGTTTGGCTTAATATCAAACCAGTCTGAACATCTTCACACTGGCCCAACCCTATTAGTAAGCAGTCATTTTTGTTGCTAACACACAGTAAGTCTTATTTGTATTTTCAGAGCTGACAGTAAAGGCAGCAGACAACATGTTTTGAATGCAGTCCCAGGGTGTTCATAGTCAGACAGTCAACCAGGTATGAAACACAGTAAAGGCTAGCACTGGAGTCACGCCTGCCTCAGACCATGAAAACAGATACTCTGCTGCTTTAAACCTAGACAAGTCATGGTTAAACACACACACACACACACACACACACACACACAAACACACAAACAACCTCACACCTGCCGTAGAGAACTGCTACATTTTAAAAGCAGTCACATCAGCTCCTGCAGACATACACATGCAGCGAGCAAGACTCAGGAAACACAGGTCTCAGTCCAGTGATCCTGAACCATTTAAGAGGAACGTCTTGTTTTCTGTCAGGGATGTTCTCTCCGGCCTCGTCTGCCTCCCCTCTCCGGTCTGCCTCCTGAATCTCATCTGACCTTAATGTAACAGGCCACCGTGTAGCTCATTCCCAGCTCCACTCCGTACAGATCGTTTTAAGTTTGCCCACGCGCGCATATGTGTGCGAGCGCTTAACGTCGCATTTGTGTCGGAGCATTTGGGCGAACACTTAGGGGTTTATGTGTGTGTGTGTTTGTACTCAGATATGTACACACCTTGTTCTGCCTATGCTCACTTCAATTTAAAGTCAAGGCTTGTTGCTATGGAAACTCCAACCAGTGTACCACTTGTAGGGAACAATGGTCTTGCATATTGCACACTATATTTTATAGCACTGCAGACTAGCAGGCAACACTTAAGCACTTTACAGCAAATACGGCGGTGTGGTGGCTTTACTCTGGGAGGTTTATGTTCTCAATCACGTCCTCTGTGATCAGCCACATTGAAGTGCATTTTCTCAACTCCTTTCACTAGATTTTACTTTTAGTAAGATACTCCATACAGGTTCCCACTTCATGCAGCACTGTTATTAGCATGCACCACTGATCTGTGAGTAGCTCAGTTTAATTTACATCAAATCAGACTTGTTGAACTCCCTTCTTGTATTTTGAATTTTATAAAAACAGAGCCTTATTTCTCTTTGCTTTGTTTTTTGGTATGTAGGAGATTCTGAATCCAAGCTAGAAAGAGAGCTGATTGAAAGTGAAGAAATGCTTGAATGACCAAAGAACATTAAGATAAAAGGCAAAGTGTTTTAAATCCAATTTGAAAACAAGAAAAGCACATTGATCACGAGATTGATTGCTTGTCTTTTTCACACAGTTTTTTTTTTCCTGCCTGTTCAGTCGAGTGGCCATTGGAAACATCTGACAGATACATTTGTGTAAACCTGTTTTTGCTATGTGAATTTGTGTGCAACAGCAGAATGACTTGGCACATTTAATATTTCAAAAGTGGTTCTTTAAACCAGTGGTTTTCGACCTTTTTCATGTCAAGGAACCTTAAATTGATACACATTAGGTCACAGACCCCCATTTAGTGAAAATCTGCTTCATTGACCTCCATCTGAAAAGATTTTGGTTGTTAAGAGTCATTACAACTAGAATTAAATAGTTGTCAGCTACAGTTTAGGGAGAAAGTGTGGGAAAGGAAAAAGTGGAGGAAGTGAAACCGGTAATCACAGCAGTCACTCTTTTAACTATCACTCACATCGGGCTCACTTCCAAAATGAATTAAATAGTGAAAATAAACTATTCCCCTTATTTCTCTGGAACCCCTGGACTCCCTCAATGACCCCTGGTTGAGAACCAATACTTCTACGACTCTACAGCAGCCTGTTGCACCAGCTATACATCCGTTTTTTTTATACAGTTAGGTTGCAAAGTCCACACTAATGATACGTTGAAATGAGTTAGTTGATTGTAAAGCTGTGTCCATGTTTGGTTGCACCACAGTGACATAAAGTTCATTTCAGTCATCCTACTTACTCTGACTTTTTCACTTTCTGTGGCCAATCAGTGAAAAAATGTGAGTCTAACAGTAGTGTAGAAACGGTCAACTATAACTTATGGTTATGTAACAGTACCCTATCAATGGGCATAGGACTTGGCAATGTATCCATATTGTATAGATATTATGCTATGAGACCAGATATCGTCTTAGATTTTGGATATCATAATATCATAAGTGTTGTCTTTTCCTTGTTTTAAAGGCTGCGTTACGGTAAAGTGATGAAATGAGCTTGTTTGAGCTTACAAGACTGTTCTAGCTCTGCTATTATTTGCCTTTATCCACTACCTTATTATACCCATTACTATACCTACCCCAAATCACATTGTGTACGTATTTTTGTGAAAGCACCAAAGTTAACTACAATATCGTTGCAATATTGAGATATTTGGTCAAAAAATATTTGGTTGTCTACATATCGCCCAGCCTTAATTGGTCAGTTATTGTAACAAAACAAACACAGGTGTCGCCTTCACTGACAAACTGTTTTAAATTAATAGTTGTTGATTAGAAAGTTATCTAATCCTATATATTTGCTTGCTAGTGTGGCACATATTTATATGTAATATCCCGAGACCCTGTGTCCTCATTTGAGGACATCTCATTTTGGGTTTATTTGACCTTATACTTCATTCTACTTAACTTAGACCTGTTGTCCTCGTTCGTGGACACTTTTTGTGCCATCTGGTGGTAGGAAGAGCACAATACACTAATCCATGTAAAAACAAGATGGCAGCCATCTCTGCCAAGTCAGTCTGCAGCTGATCCTGACACAAAAGTGGACAAGGTCCGAAACCTGATCACATTTAATGGTTGAAACTTGTTTATTTATGTTTAATAAAGCTTGTAGTAA